CTAAATGTTTCCCATTTTTTAATAAAATGACCAGTAAGCAATGTTAAGTAGGCTGTGTATGGGCGATCTGGCAGCAGGTGGCACTGTGGGCCAAAGCAGTCCAATATGTAGCCATCAGAACTGACATCTTGGCATGACTGACTGATGTTATGTATGCAGCTTATGGGGGATCAGATGAGCAACATGTGCAGCATGTGTGCTCTATTTCTCCCCATTTCCTGCACTATTTCAGGCCCACAGCCTTTGTAGTTTCACTATTACACCGGATCTCCTTCTTAAGCTCAGACTTAGCACAGCTGATCCCAGAGACATGAAGGCACCATGCCTCCATCCAAAACCACTCAGAGGGATCAGAACCGCCGGGGTGCAAGATTAGCAATTACACTCTCCAAAACACAACAGCCCCCCCAATCCAACTACAGCAACTCCCCAGCACTATATGCACTCACTTTTGTCAATCAAATGTCAATTGTGAAGGGATCAAACCTTTAAACATCAGAGACAAACAAACCAAGAGGACCTGCTTAATTCACCACAGCTGAGGGAACACATGGCACAGATCCCCAGAGAAAAACCAAGGTCAGAGGCTGGCTTTAGGAGAGGCAGACAGCGGGACATGATCTCCTTCATTTTGTGTGATGCACTTCAGCAATTCAACAAATGGGATGGATGTAAGATCAGCAGGCTTTAGCGAATCCAGGGATATAAGTTCCTGTTTGATAGTGTGCAACAAAATACAGCCAAAGGAAGGCAAAATAAACATTTTTATTTAATGTTTATTTTGCAAATACTAACAAGCCAAAACCCAATTTCAAATAAGAAAAATAGAAATTGAAATGTTAGGAATAAGAGAAAGAAACTCTAACAAATAACTCTTTCTATAAAAATGAATGTTTTACACCCTTAAGGGAATGTGGTAAGCTTTTATTCACGTTCATTAAATTTCGATCATGCAACCGGCAAAACTTCTATACTACACAATTAGAATACAAATGCAATTTTGCTTTTATAAAGACAACTAAACCTTGTTATACACAACACTTGTTACAATGTTTATTTCTGATATGAAATACATGTTTTACATATCCTGTTGAGTTTTTTTTTTTTTTACATTGCTTTTATAAGCCATGTATACAGAAGAAATAGACTAATTAGTTGGGGGGATTTTTTTAAAACACGCTTGATAATTCTCAGATACATTTATTTTTTATGTGAATCCAATTTTTTCTGCTCTGATATCTTTGAAGAAAATACATTTTATAACAAAGTAATAAATCTTTATGTTGAGACCAAATTTAGTGTAGTTGTAACTGTGTAATTACAATGATTACTTACAAAAGTTGTTTACAATGTGAAAACAATAGAGAATATTTATTGATGTATTCATGCGAGTAAAACTTTTTGTTATTCTTATAGATACCATTATTTTTGTTTTTTTGTTCTGTTGTAGGATTTCTCCTTGGTTTTCTCTTCATGGCATTAAAGCCTGAGGACAGAGTTGAGCTATTCTGGATGCATTTTTAGCTTTTTATGCAGTCAGGCTGATCCTGATTTTGTGGGGCCTTTACACAAATTCCTCCCCAAGTATTTTATGACTTGCTGTTAAATTTCCCATATGTGTTCATGAAAGTCAGTTAAGAAACCTCGCCACATTGCCGTAACCTCGTCCACATTTCAGCTCGGGCTATAACAAAAAAAAGATGTGTTGAAACTTTTAATGGCATCGTATTTTTATTGTATCTATTCTTTTAAAGTGTGCGTTTGTCCTTTCCTAATTTGTTCCATTTGTGTGAGCATATAATATGTGAGTACCTGCATTTTTGCCATACCAGTGCATGAGGGAGGCTGTGCCAAAGAGCTGGCAC